TWAMCCCGTCCTCCTCYRCAGGAACAGTRAACAAGTCCAGGAGGTCAGGTGGCAGCAGGTCCTGCAGCAGGGAACGGTCTCCCCACATCCCACCATCTCTGCAGGATGTATCTGGGATGTTGGCTGACAGGTACACCACAGCCCCGTATTTCTGGGTTTCCCATCCTATCTTGCTTCCCACCCTGGCTGCTCCCCAGCCCTGCCACAGTGGGACCCCAAACTGCAGTGCTGGGCAGACCTAACCCCTCTCCCAGATCAGGAGGAGGAACCTAACACTGGGAGGTTTTTAAGAGCAAGTGTTTAAAGTGATGTCAGAGCCTATTTGGGGCTTGCTCACCCCCCACAACCCCTCATGCAGAAGCACAAAGGGGCCTAGGGGCTGCCCCTCCCTCCCTTGCCCCCCAGCCCCTGCTACTGCAAGGTTGGGGGTCCCACCACCCCTGGTGCATCTCAAACATCCCCATCTCAGCCCTCCATCCTGGCCAGGCTTTGATTTGAGGAGAAGTTCTTCTCATTTTAAACAATGAACCCCTTCTCCCACACTTCTCTATGCACACCCTGCTCCCATGGGGCAGGACACAGCATCCCTGCAGCCAGTCCCGGGTCTCCCCCCAGCCTCAGGGGTGCACCCAGCAGCTCTCCACATCYTGTACCTGCCTCCTCCCTTTCCATATAGATCTGGGGGAAAGCTGTGTTCCATGGTGAAAGAAAAGCAACAGCGAAAAACAGCAGCCAGGGAAATCAATGCGAGCGTGCGTTTGTAAAAATATTTTTTAACGGAAAGACTTTTTTTCAATTAAATTATTTAAGGAATTTTATGGAGGTCTGTGGTGCCTGCGTGGTTCTTGGGGGCTCTGGGTGGCAGGGAGCCCTGTGCWGGGCAGGTGAGGTTGTGTTTAGGCGTTTTGTGGGTAAAAGCGGGTCCATGGCAGTGAGCAGGAGGTGCTTGACTCCACGTGGGTGCAAGCCCAGCCCAAAACCCCCCAAAAGATGCTCCCTGCCTTCTCGTGAAACAGCCAGTGGGGGAGGACCTTTTGAGGGGCTGAGGGGAGCAGATGATGCTCCCAGGGCCACCGGTCCTCGGGTGCCACTGCGGGAACCATGGGGATGGGAGCAGCATGGGGTGGCCCTTGGGGAGCATGGTGGCCAGGCTGGGCCRGGAGGGGAGGCAAACCCAGCCTGCACCCCTGCCTGTGCTCTGCCTCTGGCCTGCGCTTCCCCCCTCCCAGCCCGTGCAAAAGAGCCTTTTGTGCTGCTGGGTTTTTTCCCCCCTTTTAATTCCTAACCAGGAGATTAAGGGAAGACAAAGGCTACGATTGTTCCCACTCTGCAGAGAGCTGGAAAGTTCGGGGAGGGGGGATCGTCCCTTTCCAGACAGACCCAGAGGAGGGGGACATGTGGCCCAGGTGGAGGGGCCAGGAGTGGCGGTGGGGGGTCCCGGGGGCACAGCTGGGGTAAAGCACTCTGGGTGCTATGGGGGGATGTTGCTGGGGTGGCCCGGGGGCTCAGGGCTCCAGCGGGAGGGTGGGAGGCTCTCTGCAGCAGAGGAGGAGGAAGGCTRAGGATGATGGGTTGGCCGGCTCGCCGGCTGCTTGGCGTTTTCCCTGCTAACTCTTGGCTGACACCTCAACAACTTGGCAGGGACAGGATCCCGCAGCCCCGTCAGCCGCCTGGGGCCGGCACAGCTGGAAGGGATCACGGCTCGGCATGGCTCGGCACGGCTTGGCACGGCTCACTGTGACCCGGCAGGACAGCACGAGGCACGGGGCAGCGAGGGCACAGGCTTCCTCYTCAACTTCCATCACGCCTTGTCCCCGCTGCCACCCCATACCCAAGGGAATGGCCAAGCACAGCCGTGCTGGGGCCACATCCTGCACCCCCTCAGCCAAGGACGGGCCGGACGCCGGCCAGGCGGGTCATTGCCTCATGGCTGGAGCCAAGGACACACCACGGCCCGAGAAAGGGCCGTCCCCACAGCACGAGGGACAGGACCCAGAGAATTTTCCCATGCTCACAAGAAGCCACGAAACACCCACGAACACCCCAGCTCTGCTCCTTCTGTTTCCCGTTAAGATTATTTATTGGTAATTTTTAAGACCACTTACAGACTCTGTTCACGTGCCAGGACCCTACACGGCTTTTTCCCAGGGCTTTTTTTTTTTATTTTTAAAAAAAAAAAAAAAAAAAAAAGGAATTGTTTTAATCATTTTCTTTCCATTCCTTCCTTCCAGTCTCCTTTGGTTGCTAGCAGAGGACTTTCAAATGCTGCAGCATCTGTCCTTGTCTGCCGCCACCGCAGCCCATCCTCCCTGCCCACTGCTGCTGGGGYTGCAGCCTCATCCCCTCATCAGGCCTGAGTGTCCCCACAGGGGGGCCATGGGAACAAGAAGCTGCCAGCCAGCCTGGGATGCTCTGGAAAAGGGGATCTGAGGGCTGGGGGGCTGGCTGGGGAGCAGCAGGCAGCACTCTTACAGATGCCTGGGAGCTGACATCGTCTTTGGCAGCACAGCCGGCGAGCAAATGCGCCTGCATCAATCACCCCGCGCCTGTCTGCCGTGTTTGGGGAGCAGAATCCGACCCAACACTGGACCAGGAGGCAAAAAGCAGCTTTGGGTTATTAAACAAGACCAGGGCAGTGCCTCGACCCAGTGCAGTGTGGGAAAGGCTGGATCTTCGGGGGGCAATCAGATGGAAAGGAATGGTGGCCTTGCTGGTGGGGCTGGGGCTGGTGCCAGGGGCTGCATCACTTCCATCGAGTGTGCCCTGGCTGGAAACGGCTCCTTTGGCAACCAGGGGAGCCCAGGGCTGCTGCGTGGCTGGGAAAAAGAGGCAGAGATGCCCTGGTCCCTGCCAGCTTGCCTTGCCCGTGTTTCGCTGACCATCACCCCTGCCCAGTCCTGGAGTATYGCGGGTGTTGATGCCTGCTCCCCACATGGCAGCATCACCCACAGCCCTTCCTGCCACCTAAATYTGGCATCTCCAGATGAGGAAACCCCTTCACCCTGCCCCACTTCCCGAACAGCCACAGCCCAGCTGCTGCTGAGCCCCCTCGTTGCCCCTCTACCGCTTTGATCTCCCTCGGATCCGGGGTCGGGATCGCCGCCGGGGCCGGGGGCTGCCCCGGGTGTCAGACTGGTTCAGCCACACATTTCTGCCTAATGAGAAATTTCCTCTCCCCGGCGCTCGGCCAGGTTTTTTTTTAGCTCCGGTATCGCTACCCCACCTCTGTCTCCGCCACGGCAGGCTGAGTCACGGGGGGCCCGGGCCACCTCCCGCACGCTGGGCTGGCCACCGGCACGGTGCTCCTTCCCCTGCGGATGGCATAACCGGGAGCCTGGCAAAACCAAAACTCCCGTGACCCATCCTGAGAGCCAAGCGCTCCACACAGAAACCAGGGTGGATGGGCTGAGCCTGCAGAGGGGTCGGTGCCGCAGCGGGCGGGGGGCTCGGCTGCCACACCCTGCTGTGCCACATCGTCCCAGCTGCCCTGGTCCGTGCTCGGGGGAACCACAGCTCGGGGCAGCTGGGGAAGTTCAAAGGGAAGAGGAAAAGCAGCAGTTCCCGCTGTATGTGAGGGTTTGGGCTTGGATCCCCGCTCCCCATATCGCAGCCTGAAGTTATTTCGTGCCATTAACGGGTTTTCTCGCTCTGAACTCGCTAATGAGCCTGCGTGGGAAGCAGCAGGGACCCAGGGCCTCCAAACTGGGGCAGTGGAGGGAGCGAGTGGCTCCTAGCAGAGCTTATTGGGGGGAGAGGCAACCATCATCCACCCTTAACTCGCTACAGTGAGTCCTGCCTGCTCTCAGGACTCCCCAGCACATCCCTGCCACCCCAGCAGCCCCACACTGGTGCCTGGAAMGAAGGGTGTCTCATGCCACCACCCTAGAGAGTGGCTCAATTTCTGCCACCTCCCTGGTGTAGTTTCCCCCATCCCACTGTCCCCATCGTCACCCAGGCGGGGAAACAGGACTGCGCCCGGGAGGATGAAGCTGAAACCATGACCCATCCCCAGGGCGGTGACTCAGGCTGTGCCAGGTGACTTCTGCTGGAAAGCACCTTCCAGACCATCCCCATTCCTGTCCCTRTCCCTATCCCTCCTTCTGTCCYTGTGCCTGACCCCATCCCCATCCCACAGTGGCACAGAAGAACCCCATGACAGGAAGGAGGAGGTTAAAGGCTCCACAGAGGTGGTGGATGTTTCTGTCCACAGCCCAGCCTCGCAGGAAACAGAGCAGGAGGATAAGCCAAGGCTGGGGCAGGAGCACTGGGGCAGGAGCACCGAGGTGTGCGAGCCAGCGTCATCAGACCTGGGCAAACAAACCCGCAGGACCATGTGAGGACAGGGCAGAGCCGGGCAGAGGGGTGGGGAGGGCCTGTCCCATGACACCGGGGCTGATGGGGACGAGGCACCGCGGTACAGCACATCTGGKGGCTGCCATGAGGCAGGAGCCACCCTGACAGCCATGCTGCCRTCCCAAACATTGTCCTGCTGCCCCTTGGGCCCAGGGCAGGCAGGGGACAGGGTGTGCTGGCACCATAATGGGGGCTGCCGTTCACACGCTCCCGGCGGGTGGGCAGCGGGTGATGGACGAGGCACGTCCCGGCCTCTGCGCCGAGATAATCCCGTCCCTGCCGGCCCGCGCTCGGCATTTATCTCGCGCCAGGGCTGACGTCACCCTCCAAGACCCCAGCCAAGGAGGCCTCACTGCTCTTCCTGGCTTTTCCCAGGGACAAGGGGCTTTGGGCCCCTCGCCCCGGGCTGYGAGCAGGTGGATTTATGACCACAGCCATGCTCCGGCATCCAGGGGACAGGAGAGGCAACGAGACCTTTATAGCTTTAATACACCTTTCTGACAGTGAAGTTTAAATGGCCTCGTAAACCCCCTTGTCACCCACCCCAAGCAGAAGGCAGCAGTTTATTAGGGCTGTAATTCTTCTCCTGGCATTCCATCAGTGTCCTTTTAATCTGC